GGCTCTTGTACACCACCACTTGGAATATTAATTACACAACCACTTTGGAAAACAGCCAGTCGGTTTCTTGTAAACTTGAACATACAGCTGGTGCCCCGGGGTCCTGTGCGAATGTGTGCCCGACCCGCTTCAAGAGATTTATCCGAGATAAATGAAAGCATATGCCCACACAAAGACCTGCACACGGATTTTCACAGCAGCTTTATTTGTAATAACCAAACACTGAAAACAACCTGGCAAAATTGGACAAACTAGTCAAATATAAAAAAGAAATCAACTGTTATTCATGCTTCAGCATGGATGAATCACAAAGTAATTATGGTCAGTGAAAGAAGGCGGACAAAAAAATAGTGCGTTCTGTATGATAAAGTTTATAGAAAAATAATAGAAAATGCAAACTATTCTGTACATACAGAAAATAGATCACTGTTTGCCTGGTCATTGGAGGAGAGGAAGGGTTCACAAGAGACACCGCCTTGGGGGCTGATAGATAAGTTCATCATCTTGGTTCTGGTGAAGGTTCACAGACGTGTATATATTTAACATTTATCCAATTGTACACTTTCAATATGTGTACTGTTTTACATTCTAATCAGACCTCAATAAAACCATTAAAAATAGACCACATGTCGTATGTTCTCCAATATCAACAGAAATAAATTAGAAACCAATAAAGATAGGCCATCTAAGAAAATGAAATATTTTTTTAAGATTTATTTATTTATTTCAGAGAGAGAGAAAGGTCACAAGTGGGAGAGGCAGAGGGAGATGGAGAGAATCTCCAGCAGACTCCATGCTGAGCACAGAGCCCGACACGGGGCCCGATCTCATGACCCTGAGATCATGACCTGAGCCAAAATCAAGAGTCCACTCGGACACTTAACCGACTGCACCACCCAGCACCCCGGAAAACTGAGTCTTTCAAAATTAAACATCAAACATTTTTAAATCCAAGTGTTAGGAAAGAAATAAAAATGGGAGTTGGACAATATTTCAAGCTGAATGATAATGAATATATAATATACCGGGATCTCTCGGATTCCATCTAGCAGTACTTAGAAGGGAACTTTCAGGCTTGATATGGGTTGAATTGTGTTCCCCCCATTCATAGGTTGAAGTCCCAAGCTACAGTACTCAGACTGTGACCTTATTTAGAAAGAGTATCTCTACAGACAGAATTAGTGAAGATAAGATCATCCTGGAGTAGGGTGGGCCCCTAATCAAATAGAACTGGTGTCCTTAGGAAAGTGGAATTTTGGACACAAGAACACACAGGAAGAACGCCACGTCAAGGTGAAGGTAGAGATTGGGATGATGCGGGTATACAACCAGGAATGCCAAAGATTGCCAGCAAACCACCAGAAACTAAGAAAGGGACCTGGAGCAAATTCCACCTCACAACTCTCAGAAAGAGCCAATTCTGCCAGCACCTGGATCTCAGACTTCTAGACTCCAGAAGTTGCTGTAAGATCAAAAATTACTATAGTTTAAGCTGCCCACTTTGTGACACCTTTTATGGTAGCTCTAGAAAACTAATATAATGCTTGTATTAGAAAAAGAATAATGGTTCAATATCGATGGTCAAAGCTTCTACCTTAAGATATTAGAAAGATTAAAAATATTAAAAATTAAAGTCAGCAGAATGAAGGAAAGAAACAAGATAACAGTGAAAATTAATCAAATAAAACATGGATGAACAATTGAGAAAAACCAAGAAAATCTAGATTGAAAAAACTCTAGCTATACTGATCAAGAACTAAACAGAGACATCCCAAAATTCCAGTAGAGAGACACATCATGTCAGGGGATTACAATACTCAGTATTGTTGCAATGCTAATTCTCTCTAGTAATTTTTGATATGGAAAAGAAAAGGGACTAGAGCAGCTAAAACAATTTTAAAAAGAAAATAAAAGAGGTTATACACGATCTTATTTCAAGATTTACTATATTGCTGCATTGATCAAGACATATAGTACTGTCGTAGGCATAAAAATAGATAAGTAGATCAATTTAACAGAATAAGAGATTTAATTAAAAAAAAAAAAAAAAAACTAACACTTTGGGGTGCCTGGGTGGCTCGGTTGGTTCAGCGACTGCCTTCGGCTCAGGTCATGATCCCACATCGGATCGAGCCCCGCATCGGGCTCCCTCCTCCACGGGGAGTCTGCTTCTCCCTCTCCCACTCCCCCTGCTTGTGTTCCCTCTCTCGATGTGTCTCTCTCTGTCAAATATACAAATAAAATCTTAAAAAAAAAAAAAAGCTAACAATCCATTTACTTCCAACAAGGTGTCAGATACTAAAATAGGGAAAGGAAGTTGTTTTGAATAAACTGTGCTGGAATGACTGACTGGCTATCCATAAGAGAAAAAAAAAAATGAACCTTAACCCATACCTTGCCCTATACACAAAAAAATTAATTTGAGATAGATCAAAGACCTTAATGTAAAATCTTACATGTTAAAGCTTGCTTTTTTTCTTTTTCTTTTTTTAAGATTTTATTTATTTATTTGACAGAGAGAGACACAGTGAGAGACAGAACACAAGCAGGGGGAGTGGGAGAGGAAGAAGCAGGATTCCCCCAGAGCAGGGAGCCCTAGGAGGGGCTCGATCCCAGGGCCCCGGGATCATGACCTGAGCTGAAGGCAGACGCTTAACGACTGAGCCACCCAGGCGCCCCAAAGCTTGCTTTTCAATGTAGATTAGCTTCACATCCTAGAGCTGACATTGGGGTGGACAAAAAAGCTCACGAATACTACACAGAAACCATTAACCAAAAATAACTTATCATAATTAAAACATTTTGCTCATATTGTTTAAAATATGGATATACAAACTTCAGACTGGGAAAAATATGCAATAAATATAACTTACAAAGAAATTCAATCAACAATATATAAGCAACATCTACAACTAAATAATAAAATCAACCCAGTTATAAAAATGGGCATTTCACCAAGGTTTATATACCAGTGACTAGGAAGCCCATGAGTGAGTTCAACATCATTAGTTAGCAGAAAAATGCAAATTAAAGCCACAATGTGATACTATCATCTACCCAACGAGAATGGTTAAAGTGTAAAAAGATAACTTGAGACTCTCACATGTTGCTGGTGGGAATATAAAAGGTACACGTTTGGAAATCATTCTGGAAGTTTCTCATAAATGTAGTCATCATTTATCCAAAAGAAATGAAAACATATAAACACACACATACACACACACACACACAACCCTGGAATGTGTTACTTCAAAACAACCTTATTTAAATTAGTGAAAAGCCAAAAAGTAGCCCAAATGTCCACCATCAGAAGAGATAAATAATTTCCATATAATGGAAGACTCCTCCACGCTAAGGGGGAACGAACTACTCAACAATGTGGATGCATCTCCAAAACATGACGCTGAGTGGAAGAAGCCTTATGCAAAGTTCACCCTGTATTATCCCTTCATGCAAAATCTGTATACAGAGACAAAAACAGGATAGCAAAAAACTTGTCTCTGGTGAAAGATTTCAGAACCATGAATGTCCCTCAGTGAAGGTGGGGTTGACTGGGACAGGGCACAGATGATCTTTCTGAAGTCATGGAAATCACCTACATCTTAATATGTGGATAACAGATGCATGCAATTGCCAAAATCTATCAAACTGTGAACTTAATGTTTGTGCATTTCTTTGAATGCAAGCTGTACTTTGAATTTTTATAAAAGTTGAAAGAGAAGCTTTTTTATGTCATACTAACCTTGTGATACAGAGTTATGTGCTCAGCACATTAGTCCAAATATATAATCAGTATATGACCCGCTCTCATCCAATTTTCCAGGTTCGGTTTAATATACTGGTCGTCCAGACAGACCCAGTATGTTCTGTGTGGCACATTCTTCCTTAACTCACATGTATAGTATCAGAAAACTTCAATCCAAATTAATCTAATTCCTCCCACATTTATTAATGTTTTCTGTTCACTCTATATTCACAGAGCCGTGCACCCTCACCGCAATCAATTTTAGAAAACACTTTTATGGCCCTCATTTTCATCACCTTATTATACTTTACATTTCTGTAGGTTGCATTTGTTTTTGTTTTAACATTTTGCCTGGTTAATTATTACGCCTCTTATTGTTTTACACATACTCTGGATTCCCTCTTTTATTTACAACATTAAACAGGTGAGTATATGGCCTATGCAAATAATTTCAGTATCTTAAGTATTTGTGGATCTCATTCTAGTTTCATCTTTTTTCCTCTGATTTTTTCAGGTCCAATGTCTGCATACAGACCAGCTTGGGATTAAACACTCAGGGGATCATTTGTATCACATCCCCGAGGACCATAGCCAAGATCTGCATGTGTCCTTCCTGTCTCCCTCTGTGGCTGTTTTGTTTTCCCTCCTCCAAGTTCGCCATTTCTCGTGAGGATGCGGGCATAGCTTCTGGGAAGCCCACATTTCTGCAGTCTGGGACCAGAAAACCTGCCTCAAGCGGGCCCAGAGTGTCTCTCGTCCCTCTGTGAGGCCGAAGAGATCTCCTGGTGCTAGCACATGACCTCAGGCAGCCGTCCTACCTGGGCTTACGTCACCTGTCCAGGCCAATGAGTCCACTTTGTGTTCCCTGGGCTCTGAGATGTCCTGCAACTCTCCATCCGCTTCAGCGAAGCATTTTTTAAAGCTTTGGAAAATATTCAGAAACGGAAAGGCAAGCATTTAGTGCTATACTACAAATGTTTACATCCAGTCATTTTATCCCTCTATATTGCCTGTACATTTTTGACTACACACACACACAAATTTTATTAGAAAAGCTGGATCCTCCTCTTGCCACTCTGTTTTATCTCATCTCACATTAACTGCCAAATATGAGAAAGCATGCACTAAAAACAAATTTGATGAGAAGCAGAAAAGTTCTGGTTAGAGAAATTATATGCTACCTCAGGAGAAAACAATAAATAGATGATAGTGACGAAGTATGCAGCAGACACAAAACACAGAAGGTAGAGGAAAATTCACACACAATTCCCCAAATGAGAACTATTAAATGCAACCAGATTATTACCAAGGTAAGCTTGAAAATCAGTGTGGAGTCCTTTATACTAAAAAGCCCCAGAGAGGTTTTGCAGATCTTTGAGATCCATGCCTCCTTCAGGTCCGTTTATCACTTCCTGAGGATTAGGAGCTGTCCTTAGTTCCCATGAACACTTCGTGGAGTCCATACAGGGAGAAAGACAGATACGTAACTTAATGATCACCGCACACGGCTGTATTATGGTGGCATACAAAAGGACTAAAGGGAGAAGGAGGAGCTTCTGAAGTTTAGAGATGAAAAATCACTTGCTAGAGAAGGTCATGTTTCAGTGAGAACCAAGGTAGTGAGATTTGGAGGGTTTCTGCCTCTTTTAAAATCATGGTACAAGTATTATTTGATGAGGTTAATCATTTTCCCATCCTGTCTTTTGTGTTGTCCTTCTGATTTATTTAACTACATATTTTTAAAAAGAACCAACAAACTTTCTTCTGAGACATTCTAAGAAAGAAAACTGAAATCCCATAGGCAAGAAGAACATGTATTTCAAAATCATTTGTTGGGGAGTTTCTTTCACCAAGATGGGAACATTCATGCTGAAAATACTTCATGTATATGGAATTGCTTGCCAGTTCACACTACAGGAAAAACATTTTCCAAATTCTATAATTCCTTCTCTGATTTCTTGCAATCAACATAACCTCCCACCTACCTTCTGTTTCCATTCTATGTTTCTGGCTTTTGTCTCAAGGTACAGTTTGCTGACTTCCATTAAAATGCATGGGCTCTTAGAATGATGTGGGGGAAGTCATCTGGTCCAGCAGAAATGAATCAGGGATGATGCCTACAAGACAGCAAATATAAGGATGGAAATAAGTATTTACCCAAAGGATACAAAAATACTAATTCAAAAGGATACATGCACTCTTATGTTTATAGCAGCATTATCAACAATAGCCAAATTATGGAAAGAACCCAAGTGTCCATTGGCTGATAAATGGATAAAAAAGTGGTAAACATATACAATGGAATATTACTCAGCCATAAAAATGAAATCTTACCATTTGCAATGACATGGATGAAACTAGAGAGTGTGATGCTAACTGAAATAAGTCAGTCAGAGAAAAACAAATACCATATGACTTTACTCACATGTGGAATTTAAGAAACAAAACAAATGGACATGGGGGGAAAAAGAGAGAGAGACACACACACACCAAGAAACAGACTCTGAACTACAGAGAACACACTGATGGTGACCAGAGGGGAGGTGGGTGGGCGTGGGGGGACAAGTGAGGGGGATGAAGGAGCGCACCTGTCATGATGAGCACCAGCTGATGAATGGAAGTACTGAATCACTATATTTTATATCTGGAACTAGTATCACACTGTATGTTAGCTAACTGGAACTTAAATAAAAATTTAGAAAAATGTATATGTCTATAGACATGTATTTGTATTAAGAATGGAAATAGGAATGTGACCTGCCCAACATCTGCTACATTTGTGCTCCTTCCACAGATTAAATAACAGACTGGTTTCTTAGTTTAAAGCTGGAATTAAATTTCCCAGTGCTACAGCTAGTTATTTCATTCCAGTAAGTTCTGATTGATGGAGTATGTATAATACATACTCACATGTGCCATTTATCTCATGAGTAATTAGAAGATGAAAGAAAAACACTATTTTCTAAATGCAATTTTCCTACTGAAAAAAGTCTTTGAAAAAGTGGACCATGTACATGGGAAAAAATAATTAAGTGTATCTTTAGTATCAAAATATATATGAATTTTTTTTTTAAAGATTTTATTTATTTATTTGAGACAGAGAGAATGAGATACAGAGAGCATGAGAGGGAAGAGGGTCAGAGGGAGAAGCAGACTCCCTGCCGAGCAGGGAGCCCGATGCGGGACTCGATCCTGGGACTCCAGGATCATGACCTGAGTCGAAGGCAGTCGCTCAACCAACTGAGCCACCCAGGCGCCCCTATATATGAATTGTTAATCTAGTCTATATTCTTTATTTTCTTACATAAAAGTTTAAAACCTCAAAAGGTAATATTAGTGGCTTACAATGATATCAGAAGTTACTGGAAGAGCCGGACTTGATTCCTAATGTTTCTTGGTCGCCTGGTGCTTTGAGATATAATATTTTTCTGTAAAATTTACTGTGTGTTGATTTGTTAAACATCTCATAATTTCAAAACAAGTCGCTTGTTTTTAATTTATTAGAAAGTAAAATAGTAAAATAGAAATGGAGACATGACATATTGAGAGGAAAGAGAGAGTACCCACATCCCTGATGCAGATCATCCACCACCTGCTTTATGTACAGCTCTAAACTTTCTAGAGATCTATCAAAGCTGATCTCACATTTCCTCTTGTCAACAAACCTGTAATATATCATCACTTTTATTTTATGAATGGATAAGATGAACTGGAGTTTGCTAGAGTAACAACTGCCATTGAGCCCTCAGAAGGAAAGAGTATGGCACTGGAGGGCTGCACTGGGGTCTGGGGGAGGAAGCTCTGGGTTGGCCCACAATAGCTCTGTGGGCACTCATCTTGTCAAATGAAGCAATGACTTAGTTCTTCTAAATTTTAATATTTCTCTTCTGTTAAAAGCAGAAGATACTGACTCCAATAAACTCACAGTGTTTTGATAAAGACCAAAGAAGTTACTCCATGTAAAGAAATGTGTAAAGAAAAACCTACCTTCTAATATTCATGGTACTTATCTTGGTACTCTTAGAGAACATTTCCATGAACAGATGAAGAGAATATATATATATTTTATTAACAAGGTTACTGATGAATAATTCAAAAAACCAAAAATAATGTGTACTCTGAAAAAAATGCTTTAGTAACAGAATAAATAGCTGAACAATCAGAAAGCAGATCATTGCCTTAATCCACTTTGATCCCTCTGGGTTCTGCACATACCAATAAGCAAGATTCCCCCATTTAGAGAGAAAATGACAAAGTAATCCACTAGTTCACCTTGACACCCTGCATTTCTTCCAGACTTGATTGATTATAAGAATACAGATTATTTTTTCTGGGGTGACTGGTTGGCATAGTTGGTTAAGCAACAGACTCTTGATTTTGGCTCAGGTCATTATCTCAGGATCGTGAGATTGAGCCCTGTGTCAGGCTCCGCACTCAGCAGGGAATCTGCTTGAGATTCTGTCTCTCCCCCTCTGCCCTTCCCTGCCCCCTCTTGCATGTGCATGCACTCTCCCTCAAATAAATTTAAAAAACCTTAAAAAAAAAGAATACAGATTATTTTTTTCAGTAGATCTGAGGCAGGGCCAGTGAACCTATATTTTTAATAAGCTCTTCAGCTGATATTATGTTCTGGACAGTTTAGGAACATGACCTGGAGCAACAAGCAAAATCTAGATAGTTCCTCTGAGAATGGAAAGTACGGAAGTGCACAAATATTCCATGAGTCAGGCTGCTCTGAGATCCGAGTTCACAGGCACCTTTATCATTAAGTATTCTCCAGGTTCTTGATGTCCTAATAATGGTGGATCACCACATTTTCCCTCAAAAAATCAAACGGCCAACCACATACAAAGCTCTAAAGCACTTTTGTTTTGAAACTGAGAACATGTGAAAATAGACAAGAGGTAGTTGGTGGTAAGAAATGTGTGTAGGTGTGATATAGGTTATATTTAAATAAGTGCAGAACCAGGAAAGCCTTTAGTCATGGTGGACACACCCCGTCCACTGAATGATGACAACAGAATCGTCCCCTCGTTGGGTGGCCTGGCGAGGGAGGCGGATCCCCACCCCACCCCAGGCACTTGTGACGACCTCAGGCCAGGTCCCTGACCACGGCTGGGTCGAGCCACAATCGCCTTAGGTTTCTGATCTTGAGACAGAGGAAGGAGCTCTCAGTGTCTGCTCAGAGACAAAACCGGGAGAGGCGAGTCTGGAGCTCCAAGCTGCCATAAGCAAGGTGCTAGTCTGCAGAGGGAGGACGTGAACGTCTCAAGAAAGAGAGGAGCTAGCTCGGTGTTTTCCAGGCCCTCTCCCAGTCACCTCACAGCACTGCTAGAGCCACGATTTCCCCGGAGCTTTGTTAAAGGAGCAAAATCAAAACAAAAAACACCCCCTTTCCCCCAAGTTGTGTAACTGATTGATTGGCATCATGGGTTATCGGAGACTTCAGGTGCAGGACAAGCAGCTCCTAAATGATCACTCCCGATATTAGGAACTTTAACAACAAAAACAGACTGGAGGGGAAAAAATACAGTCTCTTCACTATGGATATCACAGAATGCCATTTTCAGGAAAAATGACATGTTCCCCAGAATCTGAAAAGACATAAAGGTGACATGACCTGAATAGAATCTATTGTTCCAAGTGGCATTTTCCAACATTGCTCTTCACACAGGCGATAGAGCAAACCCAGGTTAGTATAAGAAAAATGGTTTGGCAGAGGGCATGACCTGAGGAAAATGCCAGATCATTCATTTCTTTGTAATTTCAGATATACCTCTGCTTTTTGAAATGCTTGCAAAAATATTTTCCATCCATAATCGCTCAGCTAGGATTTCTCAAGTAATATATTCTGGACAGAATTTGAAAGAAAGCCTAGTGTTGTTCTGTACAGAGGACTTGGGAATCCATATAGGATCCATACCACAATTTAGCTTTCTTATTCTGGTAGATATTCATTGTTTGAAATATATTTAGAGGTTTTCAGATGATTTCTCCGAATGAAAATTTCTGTTGACTTGGGAGAAGCTGATTTAACATAAGCCTATTATGTGAACTTCAGTCTCTCCATTATATTTGCTAATGAGAGCATATAAGCAATATAACTATATTTCCTTTGCACTGGTCTTCGCAGTTTGTTAGAAAAACATAAGAGAAAGAGGTGATATTGATGTCTACTTTTTGTTCTTTATGATCCATGATGCCGCATTTTGAGATATGTCCTGATGTATTTCCTAACACAGCCACCTCTGGTTCTTGTGTTTGTGATTGTTGGCAGCAAGAAGTGTAGGACTCTTTCTCCTTACAGACACAGGAAAGCCAGGATGATTCTCAGCCCAACTCAGAAACATCCAGTTTCTATATAAAAGATGAAAAAATGGAAAGAATACACAGGGTACTTTTATTTTCTTCCTAATAAAATATTAAGGCCAGAAAGTAGCTGGGTAAAGAAAGGTCCTATCATAAAGGCATGTAGGTCTTTAACCGTAAGCATTTACTATCCAAGAAGTCGTACTAGAAGGTACAGAGATGTCTAGAGCCAAGGCATGATTATAAGCCATGGGGATAGATTTCACTGGAACAAAGGAAAATCTTACCTGTACTGTATTTAGTTCCCAAGGGAAATTAAAAGAATGCAGAATGTATACCATTAGCTCTGGAAATTCTTGGTGGTACATGGTTAGAGTTAACTAGTGAATTAGAAAACCTGGAAATTTACTCTTTTCTAGGCTATCTCAAAAAATGAGACAAAAATGAGCTTCCTTGCTCACAATGTTGGATCCATCCATTGATTTTACTTTAATTTAGGCTTGATTTAACATAAATCTGGACCTAATAATAATACCTAATATTGATCATATACTTAAAATGTGCAAGTCAATAATCTCAGGGCTGAACTTGTATTAATTTATTTAATCCTCAAGAGAATCACATGAAGAAAATGAAGCAGAGAGATTTAAGTATCTTGGGTAATGTCACATAGCTAGTTAGTGTTGCAGCCAAGAAAAAACACAAGCAATCTGGGTTCAGAACTCATCCTGTGAATAACTTACTTATATCTACTTGTTAAGAAAAAAAAAAAAAAGATATAACCACTTAGATACATATAACACACAAA